CCCCATCCCTTTCCAGGCGTAAGATGATATTATTTGAACGTCCCCTTTATGGGTTTTTTGGATGAATCGATCCATGTTTAGCCTTCGAGCCTAAGATTTAAAGTCTGTCACAAATTTTTATACCAGATCTATCTACCTGGTGCAAGGGAACCAAGCAAGCTAAATAATCAGACGCCCATGTTTACAATTGATATTTACTCTAGATCTAGATCTAGCTAGACTAGAAGATGATTCAGTCCTATCAAGACTATTGGGTCGGTTTGCTCGCCAGATTGACGGTGCAAAGCAGCTATCGTGGCACAAGTCGATCGCGCCCGACTCTTTGCTTCAAAACAAACACATTGTTTTCAGGCGACGAGTCGGGTGATCATCCCGACCCGACCTGACCCGGTCCGGGTCACTGGGCAGCGGCGGGCACCCCGTAGTGCAAAGGAGCGAATTGTCCCCCTTGGCGTCGTTATTTTAAGTCGTGGAAGAAAATTTCGGTGTTTTTAAAGAAATTTTACTATTATTTTCCCAAATTTTTTCGGGAAATTGGCTAAAATTCGCGAATTCACGAAAATGGTAAAAGTTGCGCGAAAGTTGCGCTGAGGGCAAAAGTTGCGCGCGCAACTTGCGGGTTGTGGGCGCGAATTTCTCTGAGGACAGTATAGGCCTTTTATATGGAACAGATAAATTTGGCATATAGCTACTTTGAAAATTTAGTTTCTGGTACCTATTCATATAAATTTATGTGCATGCCATATGTAAGAAGCATGTCATGTTTTCATTTATGTGGATTTTCATCATTTGATTATGAAAGTTACACGTTGACTTTTTACATTCACTTACTTTTGACTCTTTTATCATGTTATTTTCATTACTGTCTACTCTTATATGCGGGGTTTTTTTTTTCATTATTTTTCCCTCTTTTTTCTTCTTTTCATAATTTTAACTCTTTGTTATAATTTGCCATAATTTTGACTTTTTTTACTGTATTTTTTGTATCAGCATTAGGATCGGTCCGTTGAGCTGATGATTGAAAGGTTTTCCACCCTTGTCTGCCATGTTTCCACAGGGTCTCTTTATGGAGGGTGCCAAGTGGGACAGGGAGAACATGGTCATTGGAGAGTCAGCCCCCAAGATGCTGTTTGATCTGATGCCTTGTGTATCCTTGCACAAAAACGTTTGCTGCAGTTGTTGTTACTGTTGTTGTTTGAGACCCTCGTTGAAACTCTTTAGCTTTTCATCACATCAGAAGCCCTGGTCCCCCTTCAGAACATGGGTCTTAGAGGAAACAGATTGGCTTCGAATTTGGAAAATATTTATTCCTAACTTAAATTCAAGCACATGCTTCTGTGTGATAGGCAATTGTGTGACACCACAGCTACAAAGGATCAGGAGACAATGTTATGTCCTGATTCTTTGTTGATGATACACATTTTTCTAGGTGTGCTGATACATAACGGGCATCTGTGGTGTAATGGATAGATACTTCGTCCCTGCCTGCAAAAGACAAGAGTTTGATTCCCCTGTGAGGAATTTTATTATATTGAGTATCATCTTTCTGTTGATATGCCATATCTTTCTCAGCCAGAGATTTGCCTTGTGGATGATCTAATTAATTGTATCAAGCAGGATGCAGAACAATTATAGTCCACAATTTTACTCTCAATAATACACAAATTTATATAAACTCACAAGCATACACATTGATCCAGTGCTTGCACTAAGTTTAGATTCAGCCTGATTAATTAAGTCTTCCCTAAACATGTTTTCATGCTTGAGGTCTTCATGTTCACTGTCCCTTGACTCATAATATCCTACTACCTCTCTCTTTGTGTCTTTCCTTGAATCCTTGTCAAGTTTTTCATTACTTCTTTCTTTATGTTTTTCCTCCACTAGTCTTTCTATTCATCCATTTGTTCTTTCAGTCTTTCTTTCTACTTTTCTACCGCAGTCGCCACTGTGATGGTTTTCTTCTGACAAATTTAGGCCAAGTTCTCTTTCTGATTCTCTTGTGTTCTTTTGATTTTTCTTAACTCAAATGTTTCCAGATTTGGCTCAAACCGAATGAGATGAGCAAATTTGCAGATAATCCAAGCTACACGTGTCCTGTGTACAAGACAAGTGCCCGTCGTGGTACTTTGTCGACGACGGGACACTCCACAAACTTTGTCATGTTTATCAAGCTGTTGTCCGACAAGCCTGAGAGCCACTGGATCAACCGAGGTGTGGCCTGTCTGTGTCAGCTGGATGACTGAGACCCTTCCCAGCACAGCACAAGGCCAGGGAAAATGACAGCCATTCTGAAAATTGGAATTCTCCTACTGTGGTGCCGACTTCTAATTATAATAACCAGTGTTCAAGCTCAGTTTTTTTGGTCTTTTTCACAGGTTATAATAAGAGGAGAAATGCAAAAGATTTTAATTTGGACCCAAATCATTATTCATTCTTTCAAGTAGTTTAATGAGCTCATTGTTCGTGGGCTTCATTGTACTTATGTTGCTTTTTCATACACATCTTTGGGAATTTACAGCTAGCCCATTAATGTTTTTATGTGTGTATTACCATAGAATATCATCCTTAGAATAGTGAGCCTGTCTCTTTCTAGTTCTGCTGGAGAAATATTTCAAAGGTTTGAAAATGTAACACATGTAATGCCTTTAAGGTAGCCATGAGAAATGAGCTTTAAATGAAAGTGATATATGTATATACATACAGTTCTTCTTTGTGTATGGTAAGTGACATAGTGTCTAGTCCTGTCAAACAGTTGATTTACAGTTGTTTCAAGCTCAAATTTTGGTTTTCAGTTTGTTTGTCAAAGGAAGAAGCTATCAAAGGGACATGTATTAAATTGTGTTGCTTCTTAAAGCAATATTGAATAAGTGATATTCTTCATTTGGAGAAAAGAGATATGGCATTTTTGCTTCTTTCTCTCTTTTTTTTTAGTGCAGGTATCTGCCAAAGGTTTGGGACAAGAATGGGGAGTGTGAGGGTGTGTCAAAAGTTCGGGGCAGGTGTGGGGAATGTGCCAAAATATTGAGGTAGGGGAAGGTATTCTCAGCGTAAGCCCCATAATGGATGTCTGTCTCGTTTGGAGGTGGTCAGCTTTGTCAATGCAAAGCAGTCCCTTTGTTTTGATGTAACTTGCTATGCATTAAGCAAAGCACCACTTTGCCGCTGCCTCGGTGAAACTGAAAGCTTGCCTTCATTGTGAGCAGATCACTGTTCTCTCCCCATGCTGATTTTGTGTATTATGAAATGTGTTAATATTACTTTTGTTTAAATGTGATGATGAACATGTGCTGCTGACTTTTTAAAACCTGTTTTATTCTCCTACCATGTATGTCTTTGAGAGATGCTCAAAAAAGTCTTGAAATTAAAAGTGCACTGAGAGAGGACAATGTTTTTGCCTTTTATAAGGTTGCTGAAAATGATAATCATGTTTGTTTTAACCTTTATAGAAGTTTCTTTAAACCAAAGTAAGCCTTACACTTATACTATTAACTTATACATGTACATTTATAAAGTTGTATGTGGCTTTCCAAATACCTTGTCACTTTCCCATCTAGAACGGAACATCTCTGGCTGTTTGCTTTGTTTAGTAAGTTTGCTGTGTAGTGTTCATTTTTGCTAGTCCGTCATATTATGCTGAGCCAGTTAAACTTTGTTCTCCTATATATTCCTTCCAAACTTTTGAGTCTTAGACTCTGTTTTCTTTCATAGGGACTTGTTTTAGCAGTGTTTTTGTCTGTTGTTACAGATATCATTAGTGCTGGTCATATCGATCTCATGAAGGAAAATGTGATGTTGTCAGGGTAAAACAGTTTGGTATTAGGGTACAAGTACAAGGCAGGTCACTGAGGCTCAGAACTTCAGGGGCTAATACTAATACTGATAGTGATATGGTTTAGCACAAGTATATTATATCTGGGGCTGTTCTATAGTACAAAACAGAGTTCCTGGCACTGAAGATATGTAGAAATTTATAAAAATGGCCACGGTCTGTGTTACTATCTTAGTGTAAGTTGTACAGAAACTACATGTACTTAATTTTGTTTTGCTCACCCAGAGTTCAGAGCTTGGAGAATCTCTGCTGAGGAGATCATAAGTTGTAGATAGCTGGAGTTCCTTTGGGAAGAACAGATTATTTTTATTTCGAACTTTAATGTGATGTGTAGTGTATATAACTGTTGGTGCGTAAGTTACCCTGCTCTGTGGAAGAGCAAAACTTTTCAAGTACTTTCATAGATAACAGAACTCGTATGCATTCCAGATTGATGGGTTTGGTTGTTTGAACTGGGGGGGGGGGTGATGTACGCAGGTTTTGTCGCTGAATTATCAAGAGTACAATGTTTCTTCGTTAGGATGGATATGTTTTGAGCACGGAACCTTTTCCAGTGTGACAAAGTCTCTTTTAAATATGGTGCCATCTGTTTTCCTTGTTGGGTCCATGCTGTTGCTTTTTAAAAATCTTTTTCCGTGTTACACCTAGATTTGGTCATACTTACGTCCTGTGGGTGAACTGCTGATGTCTTTTACCTGGGGTCTATCTGGGAATAGTGAGGTCTTTCTTAAGTTTTAATATGTACAACCTGTCAGTCCAAAAAAATTTAGATACGTGTGTTTCACATGTTATGTTATGCCAAAAATGTGATTTTGTATTTATGCAAATTTTTATTCACCTCATCATACATATATATATATAATATATATATATTATATATTATGGAATCTACCTGCCCCATTTTCATAAAGTATTAATGCTGAACATTCAGCAATCATGACACTGCTTTCTTAGCCATAAACAAACTAGTTTTTCACCAGTGATGGGTCAGTGTAGAGGGGGAAATTAAATGTCTGCTTCTGGAATAAAAAATGTCTCTTCAAAAAGCAATGGTCAGATCAAATTGAAATACCCTATTTACTATTTTTGCACCATAATAGCTTATGGTCAATTTATTTATTTTTTATTTTGAAACAATGAAAATTAAGTCTGCATGTTAAGAGGGAGAGAGCTCGTTATATTTTATTCTCGTTATAAAAGTAGAGTCTAATGTTTTCCTGTGGACAAAGTCAAAGATGTTTATTGCGTTTTGATATATTGCGTTTTGATAAAGTCTATATATGTTTATAATTCATATATATATATATATATATACTTATTAGCATACATTAATATATTTGTACAGTTACATAGTCTTTTTGTGGCTATGCATTGTGTTTGTATATTTTACAAAAACCATATATACTGAGGTTTATGCATGTTAGAACAAGGCATGGCCTTCTGCTGGTAATGTTGTGAAATGAATTTTATGAAAATCACTGTGATACTGTGTGCTGCAAAATTTTGAAATAAAAAGGAATGTTTCCTCACAGAGCTCCACACTTGAGGTTCTTGCACAACATTGTTCAGAGCGTCTCAATCCCCTTCAAGTGAAGTTGGCCATGAGACAGACACTTACAATGTACTAAGTTACATGACTCATTACTACAGCAGTTTCTGACAGTTGTCTATGATGTCACAGATTAAGTACACAGCAAGATGTATCCAAATTATGAACCCTTTGCACTTTGCACTCTCAGGATTCACTAACACTACTAACAGCACGGAAACTAAGAAGAGAGTTTGGCGTTACTGATGAAAACTGTCACTCACACAGCTAGATTCCAATTATTGGCTGCAAACAAATGCCAAGTGTGTGTGAGCGCAGAAGCATGAGTGTGGGTATTTGTGTGTGTGCGTGTGTGGATTTGTCTGTGAATGAATATGCTACCTGCAGTTGGTCTGCAACAACATGCTCAACGATTTTACAGTAACAGTCAGCAGAGTGTTTAGAAAAACACTTTCCTCAACACTGAATCAGTTAATAACAATAATGTAATAACCCTTTGTTTCTTGCACTGGCCCAGTCCTGTCTGTGCAGAACATTACAGCTTCACAAGGGAAATATTACTGGATACAGCACCCCCAAAGATACGGAATCACTTGAACGTGATATATCAGAATATCATGTAGCCAAGTTTCAAACTTCATGTACCATCAGCATGATGGTAAAACTATGCCGAGCTGAGTCTTTTATTCTGCTTCACATTTGTTTGAAAGAAGAAAATCCCAAAGGACACAGATGGTCCTGTCCTATATTATCAGTCAGAAGAAAAAGATAAGAATGAAGGAGAGATAAAACAAACAGGACTTTAGACCAGGAGGGCTATACTCTGAAATATCTATGGAGTTTTTCCCCCATGAAGTTGGGAAGTATAAATCAAAATAGAAAATTCTGCCGACTATAAGAAGAACAGCTCACACCATCTACTTCTACATTATCATCATCATTGCCTTTCTCCCTCTACATCAGGGAACAGGCCACAACCTTTCCACCTCTCCCTGTCCTAGGCTAGCCTCTTGATGTTATTCCAGTTCTTCCCTCTCTTCTGTACCCACTCTGTTTCTGTACTTTTAAAAAGAGTTTTTACAGGACTGGGCAGCTGGCCATCCACCAAATGGCTCATTTTGGTAGACCAGATGTATGTACCTTTGTCGCCTCATAAAACATGCATTTAAAAGTTCTGGTTTTAATTATAGTGCTTATTTACCGAGTTACATCTTGCAGAAAAAGGCTCATGCATGAATACCATACCATTTCACAATAGCTCCCTTTGCTAAAAGATCATCACAAATGTTAACTTCTGGGTTCCATCTGGACACGTTGCTGTCTATCGGGAGCATACAAATATCAATATATGAATATGTGAGTCTTGGCTAGGCTGAGACGAACAACTTATCTCAGTCTTGTTAGGAAGTCACAGGACAGATGCGGCGGTAATGTAGTAATAACTCAACACAAATGCAAAAGTTGGCAGAGGCAAACACAGTTAACTGCCTTTATGAAAGATTTTCTCTATGAACTTGAGAACAATTTGCAAAACAATATATAATTTAAAGAAGGAAAACACAAGAAAAAGTGAATACTATAAAAAATGTTTATTAATCGTAACTTACAACAGGATCTAAATGACGCCCGAAATATTTGAATACATTTTCATATTCCTCCCCCACTAAAATTTTGTTAAAGACTTCAGGAAATTTGGATACATCTCCCCCCACTTCATCCCTCCATCTCTCACCCTTGTTTACAAAAAAGCTAGACAGGTCATCTATCGACATTAGAAATACAGTGGAATGCACATAAACATTTGGTTGATTCCTATGATTCAGCAGAGAGATTGATAAAGTCACAGCATAAACTTTAGTATCATTTACAGTACAATGCATAATCATATAAGTAGTCACATAACTAGAATAAATAACATGTTTTGTGACATTAGTTCTTATTTAAATGCTGCCCTCAAAAATCAAAATTATATTTCCCCATCCTTTCACTCTGGCATAGAATATTTGAAATGCAGTGCAGAGAGATTTAAGATAATAAAAATCAACCAAAGACCCCAGAAAGATTTAAAATAAAACTGGAATGTTTCACAAATAAATAATTAAAACTTGGAATAAGATTTTTTTGGGTTAACCATCACTATGAAAATAGGGAATATCCTCCATCTGGGATGTTATGTGATCTCATTTTACACTAACTGAATGAATGTAAAACTACTTCAATTGCTCCGAGGCTAAGCAGGGTACATGAAAGCTATGATGTGTAAAAAACATACAAGGCATGTCAACTTATGTACAACTTGTAGAAAAACAACAGAAAAGGCTATGTTACATAATGATATGTTGCATATAATGGTGGCACAGCTTTTGTAACTTCTTCAGTACACTTGCTTTGCATTTCAGAACAAGCCTTGCAGTATTGACATTTTAAAAAGATTCACTGTCCCATCTGTAGTTCTCACTCGCTCTCTTTTATTCTCTCACACACACACAAACACTTACATAAAAACATACAGACACATTTCATTCAACTCCTTTTCCTTCACCATTTTACTGACTTATTTTCCATCTGATTTTACAACTCGCAAATGAATATCAAGCATCCAACATGAAAACTCACCACAAACAAATACTCAAACACGCATACAAAGATACACCCTAGAACTGCTCACTCACAGATTTAAAACTGACAAAATTAACACATACACGTCACATAAAAGCTCATTCAGAAAAATTAAACTTGCCTAAAGTAACATGCACATACACCAATACACCATACAAAAGTTCTTTCATACAAAACCATCCCCAAGAATGCAAAAATTATTGAAGACAGGATAACCAGCAATAAGGCCGCAACTTCATCATCGCAAATATGTCTCGACAATTTAAAGAGCAACTATTAGGAATGATGGCTGGTATGATGGTTGGAATGATGCTAGTTCTCTCAAGAAAGGACATAGACAATGTATCTGGACATGAACCTACCTTAGAACTACAAGGAGGAAGATTCTGGTCTCTCAGCTTCGAAAATATTGTACGTATAAAACACAAAAGCTCTCTCTCACATGTGTGGGCATAAGGTAGAGCAGACACACACATACACATTCTCTATACCTCTCTCTACACCTGCATATATATATAGTAATACACACACACACCAAATACACTATCATGCACATCTCTGTGTAACATTGTAAAAAGAACAACAGCATAACACCTCATCCAGTCTCACGCATTATGCTCCCTCGCTATGACAAAATAAAAAGTACAAAAGACATCAGAGCGCAGATGAACACTACTCCAAGGTGTATCCTCGAGTCCCTAGCACTGTTGCAGCCGTCAGCATCCTCACAGTAACAGGTTTCTGTGAACACTCCAGTGTAATCCCAGGACCACCGGCAGCCCCATGCCACACCTGAGGACACCATACAGACAACCACATTTATTCTTTTTTCTTCAATATTATTCATTATAGCCCTTAGATTGAATTGACTTTCACAAACATCCATACATATGTTACAAACATAAACATCCATATTTATAAATAACATAATAATAATAGATTGCATAATTTATACAACGCTCTATCTCATACAAGTTTAAAGTCTGAGCACTTTACATAGATGACATGATTACGGAGACTTGACCTCATATATATAAGAAAAACCTTTTCATATAAACAAGAAAACCGGTTCAATCACCCAAGGAAGAACTTTCTCAGCCCCCCATTAATTATTAATTATAGATATTAATAAATAAATTATAGCAGGTTTAACACCCACAATGAACCCTTGATATTTTTTTCCTTATCAAATTGAACAAAGATTCCACCTGCTAGAGGTTCTGGTTGGAAAAAAACTTGAACATACCCTAGTTTGTTGGCTTGAACCCCAAGATGTCCAGAAAAACTCATGTTGGAATAATTAATTATCAAAGGAATCCACGATTAGCACTGGCTTGTGGCATCAATGATAATATACAGGGTTCCTGCCATGAACTTCCCACCAAATTCAAGGAGATTTCAAGGAGGTTTCAAGGAGAAATGTTTAAAATTCAAGGAGATTTGGTCAAGACATTCATGACCAAAGCCTATTTTCGAAGGTCTACACTTGTTCGAAAAGAATCATGTCATAGTTTCGATTTCCCTACAAAAACTGTTCGCAGGGTGACTGCCAACCCGGCTTCTCAATTTTCCGGTGGGGGGGGGGCCTCATCCATTCTCCAGGGGCATGTTACATAACAATGACAGTGCAGGCTTCATTTATATATTATATATTCACAGAATGGTGCGCACGCACGCATGTAGGTACATTCCAGTCAGCAACATGTCAGTGTGGCACTGGGATACTGTGACTTAGGTATTTCAGTCAGTTCTTACTTATTTATATTTTCCCCTCATCATATTCCCCTATATAAACTATATAAAAATGAATCTTGCTTTGAGCCTGAGAAAAGGCCTAGAACCAGAATATCCACTGTCAAGAACCAGTTTGGGTGTCAAGGTTTATACAATAAACGTAAAAGATAAAAATTATTACTCTAACTAAAAATAGAGTAATAACATGAATGTCTTAAGTAGACCTATTCAGTGTGAGAGGTGTAAAAACTGTGGGAGGGCAAGACGCAGTGACTCTGAAAATCTGCAAATCTTGAACAGAAAGCTCAAATATAGAATACAATACAGTAGTCTCCGCCTAAGATCCCGGTGCTCGGGAGCCAAGAAATGCGGGATCTTAAGTGAACCGGGATCTTAACCGACGAACCCAGGGAAGAATCTATGGTGACCCATGTTAAGGCTCACAATCGGTAAAATGGTCTCCCTCCTCTCTAAAATGAGCTGACGTGACCCCTTGGTGGGTTTATGACATAAGGCGAGCAAAAAAGTGGTTAACCTTGATGACCTATCACAGTGCATAGTGGCATGAGGCGTGCCATTTCACGAATTATCCTATCATAAGTCCCAAGATCTACGCTTATCCAGCTGCCCCTCCCCTTTACCTGTCGAAAATTTATAGCTTGCCATCTCTGACTGAGTCCCCCCCCCCCCCCTTTGTCGTTACACACCATTACGTTGTGAACACACCAATTAAAATTCAGTCTGTCTCGCAAATTCGGGAGTAGAGACAACTGCTGCAATGGTCGGGGAAGAGTTCACGATTCGATGTGATCCCGCCTGGAGCGAACGTATAGGCCCTACCCACCCAGCGAGTGATGTAAGTTTAGGGTGAGAGCTCAGGTGTGAGTGCGATACGTGGGGAAAACAAACGTGTCGGTCAGTTCACACCTCGGTGTGATCCAGTCTGAGGCAAACATTGCATCGCTTCATCGAGTTTTACGTGTATGTGATCACATTCACGATAGTGGCTGATCTTTGACGCGACGGACAGTTTATTGATCTTAACTTAACTTTTCCCCCTTGGTTGATCGGTTGTGCCCGCCCGAGTCTTTGATCTGCAAATTATAATCTGAAATGCGGGATCTTAGCTGAATGTAGACCTTCTAAAGAGTGAATCAGAGCGGGATCTTTGGGGTGACTTTTGTATAGTAAAAATTCTGTTTTCTTAAAACAGCGGGATCTTAAGCGAACCGTGATCGTAAGCGGCGGGACCTTAGGCGGAGACTACTGTACATATAATTTACTATCACCTACCCAATGAAACGGGAACCCTTTAGTTACAAACACACGTCTTACAAGGTTTGAGTATGACAGATCCCGAAGGCCTGCACCAACGCGCGCATTGCAGAGAGTTTGAGATCTAGATAGTAGTAATCAAAATTCTGAAAAGTAAAATCTGCTTCCAAGTATAGTTTTTGTCATCCGGTGTTGCCTTCACCCCCCCCCCCCCCTCCCCCGCGTGCGTCTTTAAAATAAAAAAATCAATAATCCCCCCATTCCCGAGTCCTATACTTCGCAGCGCTCAAACTTTGCATGAACTTTGGTGACCTCAACCATCGCCGATACTCACGATGTGACGAAAATGCACAGGTTCAATGACCGGTCACGATGGCGAGCCCGACAAGAAGCTTGTATAACTTTCTTTTTCTTTCTTTTTTTTCCACAAGTGACAGCACAGGACAAACGATTTATTTTCATGGCGACACAGCGTTTGTAATGCAGAACCTGCATGTTAGAAATGTGGCGCTATCAGACTACTATAGGTCCTACCGGCAAATTTCTAGGTGGTAACGAAAGCGAAAGTAGATCTGGATTTTTCCCGATCGAGCTTCGGTATCACACATAACACTTCCACTTGTTGCCGCCATAACCGCCTGTGCGCGGGTAACGTACTCTCAGGCCGGGAAAGGCCAAATGAATTTTATATCACAACCGCGACCGGCAAAAATGAACTCAAGGACGTTATCGGATTTGGTTTTCAAATATTCGAGAACGTTTATGTATTTTCCCGGGTCTTTCACGGGGCAATTTACAGATTTCTTCAAATTCCCGTTGCATTCCGGTTCTCTGCGAAATTTTTCAAATGACCGGGTAATTCCAGGGGCCCCCGGGATTCCCGGGGCCTGGCAGTCACCCTGTACACGTGTTCCTGTCCGATCTGGCAAAATTCAAGGAGTTTTCAAGGACATTTTTCCTTGAATGCAAATTCTTCAAGGACCCCTTGAATTCAAGGAGGCCGCGGGAACCCTGAATATATTTCTTTTGACCTCAAACAAAGGGTGGGGGCTCTCATGGCCTAGAGGTTAAGGTGTTTGCCTTTTATTTAAAAGGTCCCAGGTTTGAATCTGGGTAGCGACCGAAAAATTTTCTTCTCTAAAATTGTCTCCTTTCACCTCCTTTCCTACTGTCTAACAATGTTCTGCGTCTGCTTTTGTCTCTATTTTCTGCCCCCATCCCCTCACCTCCTTTGCCCCCCTCCTCTGGGCTCCTGACTTTTTCCGCAGCCTTTCTACTGCTACTCCTTGGCTCCTTCTTACTGCTGTCTTTCAGCCACATCCGTAATCTTCTGGTAGGAAAATTCTACACCTAGCCTTCTCAGACAAGGGTAAAAAATCTTGGAGGTCCCCTGTGCAAGTTGCGCACATTAAAGATTCCTTGGTGATCTAAAATCGATAAGAGAAGGCTTCGGCCGTCACTTGGGCATGATTCAAAATTTCCTACAAACAGAAAATGTTTAATGTGTCCCACGCGATCATATGACCTTATGCAGTCGCCAGCGCAGTCAAAGAGTCTACATAACAAGAGGGGCCACTTCTCTCTTTGAGCCAATTAAAAAAGAGTCCTCAAAATTCAGTGGCGCCCTCTTCGCAAAAGCGCACCCTTTGCGAACAGAGTTACCCTACTTGAGCTAAAAAAAAATCAGAGCGAAACTAGCAAGTTTTTAAATAAATTTAGGAAGAACGCTTTTTTAAAATGGTTACGCTGACAAAAAACCTCTTCCGGAGGAAAGGGTGATTGTTTTCTTCATTTAATTTGACTTTAGAATGAAAGGCAAGAGGTCATTAAAATAAAAAAATACTAAAACTCCACACTGAACGAACTCGTACTGCTGATGAACAGCAGTCGATCTGCGCACGCAAGGAGGTGCTATTCCTATTCTTCTTCTGGAAAAACGAAAGAGAGCTTCAAAACAGACTGCAGCGCCATCTGAAGCAAAGAGCGAACTTCCGGCGGACACTTTTTTGGCTGAGTGGCCCATCTTGTTATGTACTATCTTTGGCGCAGTACAACACTTACAAAACCCCCCCCCCCAAAAAACGTACATAACCACAGCTTCCTTCTCACAATATTGATGGTATCGTTTGGTCTGAGCACTCTCTTTTGAGGGCAGTTGTGACCTTCATGTTTTGTCCAAAGCACTGATATCATCAGTAACACTTTAGAAACAGGGACAGTTGTCCCCTCTCTGACCACAGAAGAATTTATGAACTACACGAAAAGTAAAAAATTTGACAAAAAGAGAGGGGGGGGGTGATCCTTACCAAAGGAAGTCCTGGATCCACATCTGCGTGTAGTCTTCTGCCAGCCACCCCCTGGTGTGAAAGATAATTTTTTCTGGTATTAGAAATGCATCTAGCTATTGCCAAGGAACACAATATTTACAGTAGAGCTTTAAGCAACAACTAGTCTGTCTCTGACACAAAGGTGTCATCATTCCAATTCTGAATTAACAAACAAAAAGGAGAGAACAAACAGAAGCTGAGCCGATACCATGAGTTATAAAGGTCACCAAAAAATTTGATAGTCACACACACACTGAGGCCAGTAACGGCTGACCAGTGTGAACAGATAAACACGCTATGCAGGTCAACATTGATGTTAAGGTTTTACACCCTCATTAACACAAATTACATAAATTCAGAAGGAAGGCTGCTTCATCAAACCAAACCAAGCAGGAAGCTACTTCCCTGCAGAGAGATGGAGGCATTCGATAAAATATCATCCCCACATGAATATATAAGAAATAACTTCTTTTTAAAACTAACTGTATCACGAAAAGTCTAGCCACTACAGTACAGAATGGTGTAAACTGGTATACTATACACTAAATACATCCAACAGAAGAGCAACACAAAGCATAGTTTGAGAGAAACAACAGTAGACAGGGTCTGTTTTAGCTGCTGCTCTAAAATTCTCTTGCTCTTCAAGTGCTCTTTAATTTTGTACTGTCACAATTCAACTGAACTAAAACAACGTTTATATAGCCAAGTAAAGGGGGATAGGGATTTTCAATTCTTTTCTTCAGTTTCTCATGAAATTTGACAGTAGCACTGTTTTCTCCAAAAATAATCTTGATCCTAAGAGCCCCATACAACTGTCACCTACGTCATCAAAGCTTTCAGCAGTCAAATATTCAAGAGCCTGTAAAAACAATTCCAATACTAAATATATTTTCCGGTTCCTGGGTCTTCTCGAAACGATTGATGTGCTTGGTATATATCACAAAATTTAAATAAAGCCCAGTGTCCCAAACTTAACAAACAGTTCAAGCTTCAAATTAAAAAAACAAAAAACAACTACCTTAAAAAAAGCAAAGTGTATTACTTACATCCTGGACTTTCCTGGTAGATTTTGACACAAAATTGGCCTGGGACGTCAGCTTCAAAGCCATTGCAGTCCAACATGGCGTTGACAGTTTTGTCGAATCCATAGCCAGATGGGCAGGTTTGGTCCTCGTTGCTGTCACATTGGTAACACTGGATGGCCAGCCCTGAGGAAGGAAATAGACAGGAAGTTGATTGTTAATGTTTTACACCACATCCGCACAAGTTAGACCATAGAACAGACAACAAGTAGAATTACATAGAAATAACTTGTAACATGTTGAGTCACTTCCAACACGTAGCAGCTCAAATTAAGGAACTTTTTGGTGAAATCACAACTCAATATCATTTTAACTACAGTCAAACCTACCTGCTCTCTAATCATATGACCACGTGTCCAAATGACCACTTCCCATTTCCCCCTCTTATTTTTTTGTATTTTAAATTACAATGACACCGTCCAAGACTAAGATGACCACATGTCAGTCCCCCCTGACCTAATAAAAACATGAGGTGTTTCAGGGGGGCATGCCTCCTGCCCCTGAATTTAAACCATATAATTTGATGTTTTGCAATTTGTGATATCTGTCCATATCGGCATATATGTGCATCCAAAGTAATCGTTTAGAACCAAAAGTAATCGTAGGTGGAGCCAAAACCACTCCATAGTTATCGTTAGGGCCAAAACCGGATTATCCCCAGGCTGCGTAATATTAAAATAAAGGAAGTGACTATTCTCACCCCAGCCCCAGGTCAGAATAAAAATATGATCAACCTCTCACCCCGGGTGAGACTTGCCAGCGTTGGCTATTCTCACCCGCTGAGAAACGGCTTGTTTTTCCTAATTTCTGAATACTGTCAATCGGTGTGGATGATCGAATTTGACAAAAACACAGGTAAAAAAAAAAGATGCTATAATAAGCACAAGAAAAGAAAAGTAACTAATTTGGCAGTCTACAAAGATGCTACGGCTATTTCACTTTTCAAATCGAGCCGAAAGACGGCGGTCGCCATTTTGATTTGCCTGGAAGTTCTCACTAGAACGAGGCCTTCTCTCTCCCTCTCTTCCGCCCCCTCACCCCCCCCCCCCCCCTCTTGAAAAATTTCCAATGCCCACAGACAAAATCGCACATTCAACACAAGAGTGCTGGAACGTTTGTTTATACCACAGAATTCAATAAAAAGGGTAGAATTCTTGGGTTTACACGGGGTACCATGGTGAGAATAGCCAAAAGGCTTGCCCTCTCACCCTGGGCGAGAAGCCTACAACAACAGAGCTATTCTCACCTAGATCTAGAGGTGGCCTAAAATAAAACACTTCTTTCTAAAAAAAACAAACGTTAACAACCCATTGACCCCATTTCTGAGTGGCTATCGTCTGAAATTGTGTTCTTTCGGCCTAAAAAGCTTTACAATTCTCTGAAATAAGGAATAGTCATTTGAGAATATCTACGAATTTGAAGTTACACGTTAAGTTTCATAGAGGTAACCCGGAAATAGCAGGTGTAAACAATTCAATATGAAAGTAGATATCTTGGTCTGATTGTCGAGAAGTGAAAATTAATCAATTTTGAACTAATCTCTCGAACCAGACGGAGTTAATATTTCGTAATTCTTCACCCTATATACAACTCTAGCCAATTACTGCAGAGAATAAGATTTGAAACAAACCTGCTGAGATACACATGAGAAGAAGCAGCAATGTCCAAACACGTTCGGACGCCATGATGGCGCTCTCTCTGTTGAACAACTCCAGGTAGATGGCGCTTCCACAGGTGAGCGAACCTTTATTTTACCTGAAAGCTGCTCAATACAGATGCCCCCTTAAAAAATATAAATTATGTCATTTCTAATCTAAAAATTGTGAAAATGTTGTTTCTAAAATGTTTCTGACAAAATAAACCGTATTTTTTGCAGGTATAATTTAGTTTCGAATTCATGGCAACTTCGTTTCATAGGTACCGGAAGTCTTACCTGATCCTGATACGTGACCTATATTCGTATGTTGTCAAAGGTGTAAAGGCTCAGAAGTTGGTGCCGTCAACGGCAACTGAAAATACCATGAACAAACTCGTGGTAGTACTTGGTGTTCTAGTGGCGGGGTATATGGTGTTGGAAGAAGGTAAGTATTTCTTTTGCAGCAGTTTGTACACCTTTGAGCCAGTTGTTAGTCTTGTTTCATAAATGCGGAAGTGAATGTCCTGTTTTTACACTGTAAAATGGCGGTGTTTCACTGATTTTTCAGTTTCATTTTCTCGATTGAAAGTTTTATTCTGCAATCACTCCAAAAGATGTGCTCTATGACAGGCAGCTATACTGAAGACCTTGAGTAAAAAAGGGACAGAAAAAAATCTTCACTTTGATGACAGTTTGAGGAGTTTAATTACTCACACTGTACTGTACTAAATCTACTACTGTACCAAAATAAAATCCCAACAAACCATGCCATTCTTCAGAAGACTATGGTAGCCTACTCTACAGTACTAGATATCTAGATCTAGAATCTAGACTCTATACTCTGATCCTATGACTGGGATCAGAGGGTAAAAAATTTTTACTTTGTGCGATACGCCCTCACCCAGCAGTAGCAAATTTTTGTCGTGGGTCAACAAGTGGTTCATGGGCTCCCCTGTGGCCCTCCGCAGCTCTTGCAGTTGGACTCTAGTCTAAGTACTAAGTGTGCTTTTTCGGTAATTCCCACCCCCCTTATTTGAGCCAGACCTACATCTAGATCTAGATCTACGTTTGATGCGTGGTGAGCTATTGCAAAACATCAAATTATGTTAAAATTCAGGGGGGCAAACACCCCACCATATTTTTATTCGAAGTGACTATTCGGACTCGAGTCCGAATATGAAAAAATGTTATTCGGACTCTGATTCTTGTCCAGCATGACATCACTTCCGACTTACGACTTCCTGTGACTCGTGACTCCAACCTCCTGTCCCGCCTCACTCGTTACTCGCCTCAGGCTGGGTAGAGACCGGGATCACTTCGGGCAAAGTGGCATTTTGTGCAGGAGCCGAATTTTTATCTTACGATAAATTTGAGGCCGGCCTGAAAAGTTATAATTATAGCTCTTCTTATTTGTCAAGAGGTCACCAGAAGCAATTGAAGATGGCTCGTTAGCGTGTGTCGGGGTCGGAAGGGCGGCCTGCACACATGTCGCTGTGTGTGCATGTCGGGGAGGGTGGGGCACTATCGGTCCAGGCGTTGAACGTCGCATACGCGTCTGTCTTTTATCCCCCGGCAACTGATCATTATTACAATAATAAGCTAGTCTTGACGTAGATCTACGTAATGAATTGTGCGCTGGTCTAATGGAATCAAAAGTTGCCGTATGCTCGGCTCTACACAGCAACACAACTTTTTCTTGGTAAACAATCGAGATGACACAGGCTTACGTGTATTTGAACGAATCGTTCTTTTTTTTTATACAGCTCATAATGTATAGGTGCCAGGTGGTGTGCTAATCTTCAATTTTACCTTTTTCTACAATAAAGAAAGTGGGAAACATGGGGGATGGGGGGCGTATCAATGAGGCGGCGGGCATTTGATCGGCAGATATAAGGTGTGGGGGAAACTAAAAAATGGCGGAAAATTGGAAGCACTGAATGTTTGATCTATAGAACGAAGACGTACTTCTTTTTTTCCAGACCCGGGTCCAAATAACATTTTTTCATATTCGGATTCGAGTCCGAATAAGAATTTTTTTTATTCGGACTCGAGTCCGAATATGAAAAAATTTTATTCGGACTCCGAATAACGACGGCCATTTTTATGAGGTCAGGGGGGCCTGAAACCCCCCTACTCCTTGGGCCAAAACCAGCGAATAACAATTGCGGGGTGGAAACTACCGGAAAAGCTCCGGACAAAGTACAGTCGAACCTGCCTTAATAGAAACCTGTCTTAACGGAATCTCACTGCCCCTCCCTTGATATTCCTCTTCTTTAATTACCTGCAAAAAACGGAACCCTGGCCAACGTGGAAACGGAAAGAAAAATCCGCTCCCTTCCGAGGGTTAAACTTGTCTAAGACGGAAAATTCTTTGCACGCTCAGCCCTGATTTTAAATAAAACTCGCAAGTTTGGTTCAGCCGGCTCTAAACTTAACACTATGGCTATGCCGCTGAGCAAGGAAGGGGAGTAGGGATGCAATTTGGGGGTAGATGTTACCCCATCATGTGAGCCCTGAGCGATGCAGATGGTTAGTGTAGTGAGGGTGTGAAATCTCACAACTGCCCGAGAGAGTGCTCAAGTAGCTAGCCACTACAGAAGCTTTCCTGGGTAGCCGGAAGCCAGAGGTGTGAAATTAGATTGACCAATGCCTGCCGACCTGATCGTACGGCCGGCCAAGAAAAGAGTTCCTTGAATCGTTTGTTATATGGTGGCAGTGAGGGGTGGGGCTAAGGGTGAAAGCAAAGGAGACGTTCAAACGTTTCTGTTTTTAATTGGTTTAGCAGTGGTCCTATGAAAGGCAAGCACTGGTAGTAATTGGATAAGTAAGACTGACGCATGAATGTCGTTATCAGATAGGATTGCACTTGAGAGGTGTGAAATTTTGACCTCTGCTTGTCGATCGGACAAGCGATCCTTGATCCCACCGGCTGCCACTAAATTCCCCTGTCTAAGACAGAATTTTTTTCTGGCTCCCTTGCGATTCCGTCTTACACAGGGTCCACTGTCTGTACTATTTTTTTCCTGACTTCTTGAATTAAGTTGAATTAAGGGTTTTTTAAAGAAATCCATGAATTAAGTTCTTTGCAAAATGTCTAAAGGGGTGCAACAGCACATGTGACACTTGGCGAATTGAAAACATTTTCATTTGCAAAAAGTGGAATGGGCAAAACACAGGAAAAAAGCATCATGTGACTTTATCACAATGTATAGTGAACAGTGTAATCGTGTGATATATATAGTCTAACATGTTCAAGATGATCACTGTCGAGGGGAAAAATAATTTTCTTTGACTGGTGGTTGGTTGTCTCGAACATAGTCATTATAATAATAATACTGGAAAAAAAGGGAGGGGGTTGGGGGGAGTGGTCATTTGTGCAGTTAGTTGTCTTTGACAGGTTGTCATTAGTTAGGGAAAGGTCGACGGTACAGTCAAGCACAAAACTGGAATTCAGAGACAGCTTGAAAAATATGTGTCACGACTTGGTGGAATCAGGCGCCCGTCAATTTTTTACATATATGGGGTTATTGGTATCATCTTAAAGCCTGTTCATTTGCCTTCCTTTTGGTGACAAAAAATATCCATGTACAGGGGAATCCTGTTATAACGAGAGGGAGGGGACCGGAGCAAAATGTCTGTTATAGCAGGATTCTCGCTATAAGGGATCCAGTAATAAGTTCAAGGGAAACTGTAAAGTAGGCCAAATCTATGATTTTGTGATTCTGTTTATTTCCTTTTGCTATCTCCCCTGATGATGATTTGGTTTCAACATGACCTGTACGTCTTACTTGATCAAAAATTGAATCAGGTTTCTTTCTCTAGCGCTAGATCTGGCGATGTTGACTGACTGCTCGTGTTGGCGATCAGAAAGAAAGGGCTCTTGGCTAACTCGCCCGCTGTGTTTTCCCCCACCCCACCACACCCTGCGGTGCATTCCATCAACTTGCGCACGTCACTAATTCGCTCCATTCATTACATTGCTGTGACCTCTCCATCCCCGCATCGGAGAGGCCTTGATAATCTAAACTAGGCTTACACTGGCCTATCACACGATGCGTTCTGCTAGTCTGCGCATGCCACACCCTCCCTACTCAGTCGCTCTGGCCTTCATTGTTGACACATATTGGCTCTCCCATTGTTTCACTAGATCACCGAGAAGTTTTTCAGCTGGCGGGTTTTTTAAAATTGTGTATAATTTGCCTATGCACTGTGCACAGTGGCATCAATATTCCGTTATAACCGACTCGCATGTTTGTCTGATTGCACTATAGCAGTATTTTATTTACAAAGGTAAAGAAGAGTAGAAAAAAACGGGGTTTTAGAATATTGTCTTTATAACAGACTTCTCGTTTTTTCCGGACTCGTTATAAGTGGACTCCGCTGTATGTTGAATAGAAGTCGAAATATTTTCGATTGAAGGAGGTCAGGGTCACCTAGTTTCAGGTAAAATTAGCGAGAAAGTGTCCGCCAAAATTTGGTAAGTTCCATAGCCTGAGAGTCCTTGCGATCCGACAATTAATATTTTTTGCGCCTTTAATCAATGTTTTTCAGTACAATCCACACAAAAATGTGTTTTTAAATGGACATAAAGGTGTTGAGCCGGAAAAAAAAAAAAAGAAAAAAAAGTGTCCATCGGCCAAAAAAATGCTGATTTCTTTGATTTCATCATTTTGACGAGCGCCTGATTTCCACCACGATGCCTCACATATGTCATTCCCCAACTGAATTGCTCTATTTTCTCTGTGTGTATATATTGGCAGCACTGTTTTGTCAAACACCCACACTGATGCATCACACCTCATCGCGTGAAGCCTATTCTAATTTGTCCAAACAACATGTCTCAAATTCAAATCGCCTTGTACTCGATTGAAGTTAACAAACTTTGGCGGCCATTTTCTCATTAATTTAACCACTGAAACAGGGCTACCCCATCTTCTTCAATCGCAAATATCTCGACTTCTATTCAAGATATATGGATATTTATTTCATTGAAAGCAAGGCTAATGAATAAACTTTCAGATGATATCAATAACTCTCACATGCCCCAAAATTGACAAGCGCCTGATTCCACCAGGTCGTGACACATTATGTCTCTCTCATTTTTCATTTTCTCGGTTTACTCGAATTATTATTATGTTGAACACATTTTTCAACCCCTGACGTGTTCAAGATATCTAAATTCCAAAAATTCCAATTTAGTTGATCCTGCAGAGGAAATGTTTCGTGCAATAGATAATAAATGGCATACACATAAATCATCAACATCACAGCATAATGCACATCTTACTCGTTTGCCATTGCTGGTGACCATTATGCAGAGCCTTCTTTTGTACAAGGAGTTGTGTCTTGCACAGAGAAATTTTTATATTTTGCTATGAATTATTCAAATATCTTGAGCTGTTGCTAGCCTTGGGTTCCTCATGTCTCTTTCAGGTTTTGCCATACAATGTTTTGTCTGCAACTCGTTTCACCAAGCTGACTGTGCGGACTGGTTTGACAACGTGACTCAGCACTTGGTGAAATGTCCTGATTTCCAGACTAAATGTAGAAAGGTGGTACAGGAAGGTAAGTTCATAATATTTTAATGGAAAATTTTGACCTGAAAATGACATCGTTCCAGGATGGGCAATGTTTGATTTAAAAAAAGCATCCGTTATGGCAGTGGGTTCTATCTTATGTTTTGTTGACATACAGTGGAACTCAGATTCTACAAAAGGAGTTGGATTCCCCATTTAAAAAAAATTCTTCTGAATCAATAAGAATAACTTGGTTTCAACTGACACATAAATGGGCAAGCTCGGATTCAACGAAGTTGCTTGCAGAGTGAAAAGTCCCTACTGACGTGGCTTCACTTATTTTTTTAGCGCTGCGAACTTGATTTATTTCTGGAAACCACCTGTGGCATCTGCATCATGAACATTATTCGCTTTGCCTATTGATTATATCTTATGCGACCAATTCATGGCCTTCTATCATACCGACACACCGGTTGTAATTGGCACGCACACTTGTCTTTGGGTGTTGGGCTCGGACGGGCGGCCAGGACACGCTTGACGCATGGAACGCCAGAACTAGTAGTCAGTAGAGATAAAAACGCGTCACAGTACTCTTTTTTTTTTCTCCCTCAACTACTGATCATTAATGTTACAATTGATAAGCTGGTCTTGACATAGGTTTACAGATAATGAATTTCGTGCTGGTCTGTGGCATCGAACGTTGCCATAAGCTAGGCGCTACATAGGAACACAGCTTGTTTGACAAACGGTACGTCGTAGATGATAGATGGCACAAGCGTGCATTTGAACTAATCAGATTTTGCTCAGCATTTTGCATGGTAGAGTTCAGCGTATTTTCCTAGAATTTTCCAACATTTCTTCGGTATGGCATTAAAGAAATGAAAATGCCTCTCATTTGAAATTAAACTAGTTTTGATTGAGGAAATCGGCTGCATTATATATAAAAACATAACTAGCTCGGTGCCTGTAACTGTAATTATCTACACAGAAACGTCATGCTTGCTATAACGAATATACTCGGATTCAACTAAATTGAAGGTCAGGCCCGACGACTTTGTTGAATCCGAATTCCACTGTAGTAAAGTGCTGTTCACGATAGTGTTGTTCATCATGAAAGAAAACTCTCGACAGAGTGTGGTTGGTAGGTGCTCTGCTGGTATTTGCTTCTGCGACTGTTGTTTTGCATTTTCTTACCTCCGCCAATGGTGAAGACACTTTGCTTCCTAGCCTCATAAATTGATAAATAAAATACAATGCATAAACTGACAAATAGCTTTCCAGAAAAAAAGGAAAGTGCAAAAACAGAAATACCCAAGGGCCAGGTACTGTTGTGTTTTGATCCATTGTTATCATGTCATACCATAGCGTGATTGTGTAATGATTTTTGCTTTGAGAGTTTATTAATTGTACAATTTTTCTGATAGAATAAAATAAATGTAAACCAGATTTATTAAAATTGAATTCCCCAATAGGTATTCATAAAGGGAATTTCTTGTCTTCTTGCCCCATGTAAATGTTTTTACTGAATCTTTGTTTCATCATTAACTAGAAGTTTAAAAAAAACCCTCATAGGTCAGTATGAGCTGATATGGGGTTCGGGTTATATAAATTTATTTTCCATAATGTGTTAGTCCATTTTTTACATGCCTTTTATAACTGCTTTTATTTTCTTATCAGTCTGGCTAGAGGACCATTGGGATGTGCGATACATTCGACAGTGTGCGCAGGAAGGAGAAATTGGACGTCGTGAAGGCAGAGAGTGTCAGGAAATCTACGGCACCTACAACATCCGAGTACGACATTGCCACTGCAACAATCAAGATGGATGTAATAACGCACATAAGCCCACGTCGCATCTGTCATATGCCCTTCCTGTGTTATTGACTGTTTTACTAATGATATCACGGCAGGTTGGATGAGCAGAGGCAGCCATTGTTACCATTCCAAATTTCTTACTTTCTTACAATTTTACTCCACCAAATCAAAAGCAGTCATTCCGAGGAGTTTTTTTAAATTTTTCAAACTGAAAATGATTTGATATATATTTAGGCTTGTGTTTTGTTAATACCTATCGAAAATCTGAGTAAATCATATTACAACTATGCACAGTGTGCCTTACACTTACACATTTTTCCAAGGAAACTTTTAGTATTTTTATTAGATTTTGTTAAATGATATCAATCATGTAAATGAAGTCATTATATTGGTCTATTTTTGTGAAGATGAAGGTACATTGGTCTGTTTTGGTATTAATGATTATGTCAGTCTGTTGTTGCCACAACGATAATAGATGTGGTATGAGGGGTTTTTAGTATAAAGCTGGTCTGTCTGATTTGGAGAACTTGTGTAGGTATGTTTGATTTGTTCTTGTGTACAGGGTTAGAACAACTATTTTTAAGTTTACTTTTGTATGAATGTTTTGTTATTGTCGTTGCGTATGTGTGCAGCGAGAGATTGTATGTAAGGGTGATTGTCTTGATGATATGAAGTACGTAGTTGGTGAGAAAAAGGTGAAAGCTCTGTATCGATAAAATGCAAGAATGAGAGATGTTTACTTTGTAGAGTTTCAAGATCCACCTTTCAATAGATTATATGTGAGAGAAAGTGCATGTATGTTCAATTATTTTTGTTTGGCCATATTGTATATATAATAATGTAGGCTTATGTGCTGCTCCTAGATATGTGAGGTTCTTTGTAACATAACTAGTTGTCCTGTACCATACTTAAGCATTCCATACGAAAGTTTAACTGCTCATAAACAAGCCATTTCATTCCCTGAATTTATTGTCGTTTCATAGTGTATATAAATTCATTGTAGACTTTACAAGAAAAAAATGTATTTTGTACTCACATCGATTTGTTGGGTCATGACTCTAAACAATGCAGACAGTGAAGAAGAAAAAAGGCCCTATCAAAGGAAGAATAATAATGACTTAATATGGTGCTTAGTCTTCTTTTTAAGAGATTTTACCATGCTCCGCTAAAATTTCTGCAAATAATTTTTGAGAACATTCCATTTTCAATTAGCCTGATGGAATATTCCTTGGAAACCAATGATTGCAGGTGTTGCAGGTTCTTGAGCTTGGTTACTGTGGAATTTACTTGAGAGCTAGATACTTGAATAGACATCCCCTCAGTCAAAGCATCACTCTCACCGTGATTAGTGGACAACTGGCAGGTTCACTCCTGTTCATACTTGCTCATTTTCTGTCCTTGTTTTTCCCTCATCACCCAGATGTCTTTATGATTTTCTGTCCAACTGTGTTCACATTGATCCTCTGCGCACTATTCATTGTGACACCTGTTTGAATACCTGTAGGGCCCATGTGGTTTTTTGCGGGGGGGGGGGTCCTCATGAGGCTTGAATTCGCGAGTTAAGTCATGTTAAAAGTGACTCAAAGCTCAAATTGCAAAAATTTTTAAATATTTGCAACAAAAAAAACCCAACATGAATGGGCAAAACCAAAAAAATACCAGTGTGCAGAATGTATGTTGGCAACAGAACACATCTAAGGCATCTGTATGTGATGTAATGTTAAGGCTCTTTGCTGCTGCGCATAAAGATGTGATTTCAATTTTCATGTTGGAAAGTCTATTTTATTAACTATCCCTGTCTTTTTGTTTGGATGCTGAGTCCCTCTCAGCCTAGACTGGCCCTGGCTGGCAGTATAGAAGCAGCCTATGTCCTAATTATCTAAATTTTGTCAATCGGAGTGGAATACTACAACATTAACAATCCATCAAAACCAGTATAAATGCTACCACAGTGTACGAAAATAAAAGTAATTTGTTCATCAGTTTTGAGTTTTACACTTGTTAGGGACCGTCACTGTCTGTGGTCAGAACAGATTTACTTTGGTGGTTCACAGTATGTTCATAACAGGCGGCAGCTTTGTGCTGACTGCTTCGATACAACTATACTATGACTGAGTATGAGTCTTGGGGGGCTTTTTACTTCTACACATAAAAGGAGTTGATCTGCTCTGCTATCAGTTGTCAGTGGTGTCTAGGAACTTGGCTTTAATAGCATCTCACAATGGGTCTTTTCACAAAATAATTTGCTTCCCAAACTGTGAAACTGCTGTTGGAATATTGTTTGTCTACTAATGCTGCTCCATGGTGTCTGGTCAGTAGAGTTGACTGGCCATGTCAGCAGCTGTTCCTTGTTGGCAAACTTATGAACAAAGAATGCTCAGTTGATAACTGTCCTACTTCTGATTTTCAGTTGGTGTTCCAGAATTCATTGTTCAATAACTTGTGAAAAATAAAGGCCAGGTGTTAACTGATCATGACTGAGGCATATTATTTAGGATGAATTAAAATCAACTCTACCCATTGAAACCTTTTTTCCCTGTGTTTTTAAGTTCTTGCATGAAAATTAAACTACTTTTGTTATTGATATGTCATGTACTGTCCCTGTTGATGTATGTGTTTTTACTATTATGATTTATTTTCTTTCTTGACACTTAATAATTTTGAGGGCTCCAATCTGTGAGAATACCAGCATCTGTGGTTAAGCTCTTTGCTGTATTTGTGCAAAAAATGTTCAATTCCCGCATTATTCTGTAGAGTGATGGTGACATAAGCCATTTGCAGTCAACCACTTGGAGGGTTGGGCATTTTCTAGAATTTCTGTTTACCAAACTTGATCCTGGATTGACAAACTGGAAAGACTGAAAGATATATGATAATGTTTGTGAGAAATAGCAAGAGAACACACCTGTATGACAGATGTGGGCAGTTCAGTATGTCAAGTAAGTTTCAAATGGAGGGCCCAAGGCTCAAACTCAAAAGACTTTTACTGCTCACTATTTATAGAGGCCTGCTCAGAGTTAAAACTTGCCTAAAACTGGTGTTACATGATGTACTATTGGCCAATGCACATGTCGTAGTTCATATAAAATTGGTGCGTATAGGCTCCTTTTTGTCCAATTTCACCTTCTGTGGTGTAGTGGATAGGCGTTTTACTGTCACACATAGGAAACCCAAGTTAGATTCCTGAGTGGCGAGAAATTTTATTCTCTCGATCTTGGTGCTGGTATGTTGTAATGTATCTCTGTCAGCCGCGGTTGGCCTTGACAGGCAGGGCTGGAAGCCCGCCTTTTACTTGATATAAATTGTGTAGATGGGGGTGTAAAATGCTTACATTTTTAAAAGAAATTCTCCAATTTCCCATTGCACTTCACTATGGTTTATGCCAGGTGGTTAAAGTAACTACTAGTCCGAGCTGATGTGACAGGAGTTGGTAGATTGATATGGTCCATAGTCCTATAGTTAGAAATTTTGGTTTCAGATCTGAGGTGGGTTCAAATTTCTGTCATTCTTCCTGCTAGCACATTAACTTAATTAGGGCTATAGAAGGTTCTGTCTGTGAAAACTGAAATGATCTAATCTCTGTACGGGTATCGGTACATGTGTATGGTGTTAGTATTTAGTACTACATGTATTGGGCATCACAATAGGGACATCTGTTGTGAAATGTTTAGGATATTTCACTGCATAGAGGACATGAGTTTAATTTCTGTATTCTCTCAAGTAGGCCTACATGTATTCCTATCTATCTGCTTGATGAATGCTGTACATGTGTGCCACTCAGCATGGGTTGGCTCTGCTGTCCCCATAGAATTATGCATATTTAGAAGGCCAAATTATGCCCCAAAAAAGCAAAATTATGCAAGTTACCGTAACACCATTCGCGCCATGTTTTGCACTTTTTCAACACGAAGTTTCATGATTTTTATGTTTTATGTACAGAAAAATTGAAAACAGAACTTATCAGTATCAGTAATTTGCTGTGTATTTGGAAAAGAAAACAATACACATCAGTAAAAAAAAAACCCCAAAAGAAATAACAACTAAAAATAATCATCTCTGTAACTTTCAGTTTCAGATTTAGATCTAGATCTATAGAGGCAAGAAAAATGTTTCCCACCCCCCAAAAAAAGGACTTCTGGACTTCTGATGCTGGCACATTACTAAACCCAGGGACACCTGTCAAACATGACACATCAGCAGACATGAGAACAACAACTTTTGATGGATTGAAAAACTGAACATGCTCGAGGAACAAAATCACAACCCATTATTTTTACAACAAATATATTCTAACAAGGGAAATAACCAACTTTTCACTTAAGAGTTATTATGGTGATTACGTCCCTTTAGTCACATGGCGAGGCGTAAATTCATTGTTTTGTGAAAAAACGCGGATATTCCAAAATTATTCAAATGTTGCAGAATTACGCGAAAAAAACGCGGCCACACAATCGCATAATCCTACGGGGACAAGCTCTGGTTGGCAGGATCAAGGCTGCCCTCCCCTGAAATGACTTAAATTGTAGGCCTTGATCATCGATAGAGGGGTGTAAAATATTTACATTACTACATGTGGGCTACAAATTTTTAAAACAACAACAAAACGTCTGCGTTTTCAAAGATATTTTTGAAATTAGAAGTATGCCTACCGTTGTATCAGATTTAGAATGGCAATTGGTAAAATACACTACCGGTACATACTGTTTTAGGTGGGGGGGGGGGGGGGGGGGGGGGGGGCGGTTCGGATCTCTTTTTAATTAGAACAACCCTGTTGCCAGTTTTAAGGGTGTCAGCCATGTCCGATGTCGTATCGGAATCCTGATAATACTATTACTATGAATAAGTAAAAGGAATAGGTCACACTTTCAAACGATTCACTAGTTTAGAAGAAAAAAGGGTGACCTTATTTAGGCCACATATGGCCTAAATAAGCTAAACCCCCCTCCCTTACCTTATTTAGGCCACAGGTGGCCTAAATAAGCTAAACCCCCCTCCCTTACCTTATTTAGGCCTCACCTGTGGCCTAAATAAGCTAAACCCCCCTCCCTTACCTTATTTAGGCCACACCTTTATACAAAGTCACAGAAATATTCCTTTTGTGCTTATTGAGGTACAGTGCAGGGTGATTTTACCTGCAAGGATAATTGGACAAAATGGGCAACATCTTTATTGCTAAAGGTCATATTTAGACAAATCCTATATCATTGTCTTTTTTTTTCTTAACTGCTCATGGTTATTAAAGAGTAAGCCAACTAGGTAGTAATTTCGGATTCCTAATACTAATATTATGGGCATTCTTAAAATTCAGGGAACTCTGTGCAGCACTTTCGAAATTTGCTCGTTAATCTGATTGATCCTCACGCTTTGCATAGCAGTCTGTCAAATGATTTTTTGAGAAATACTGAAAGTTTCAAAGATGTCTTCGTACTACAGTAGAAGTATTCTAAAATGTGAAGAACACGACATCGGGGGTACAAAATAACCCCGGGGCGTACGGATAGGGTTAATAAGGGCACAGCCTTATTTACGTGCCTTGTGCGAAACTTACGAAATGAGTTGGTGATGAGGAAATGTTCAATACAAAAGCTTTCTGCTCTGTTCTAATCTTAACTATGATCTCAGCAGGCAAAGGAAACTTGAGAAAAACTATCTGCAAACTTCTGTTGGCCTGTTTGCTACAGTACTGTAGTTTGCAATATGGCACAATCATTGGGGTTTGTAGTGGTAGGCCTAATGTGAACTGGTGTCATGCTACAAAGATGGGGGCATGGGCATAGTTGAAAATTTGTAGTTTTTTACGTAGAGCAAAACAATTATGTGGATTTATCTAAAAATGATTATCAGACAAATTCCTTTTGACTTCCAAATTTTGTGTCCAAATTTGAAACGCAAAACTTCAGTGTGGGGGAAACTATTAACCAAAAAAGTTGTACAGTTTTTATTTTATTTTTTTTATAACCCTAATTACATGTACTGTACATTATATGTGTACCTGGTGTGATCACCACAGCATTCATTACTGGTACTCTGTACTTGGTGTAATCACTACGGCGTTCACTTATGAAGTATTATATAGTATTGTATATACCATGTACCAAAATCCGATGCAACCATTACAGCGTTCACTAAAGAAGTTCGTATAGTATACTATTCTAATACAATGTACCTGATGCAACCACAACCAGGGGCGAAGGCTGACTTGTTTGACAGGGTAATCAAAGTGAGATGGGACCTGATAGGGCCTGGAGATACATGTATCACACTCACACAAGTCACAAGAATTTTTACTGGCACTGGAGGCGACAACTCTGAGCAGTGAATGAAAACAGATCCTGCATTCATGTTGTATGCATATTCAACCGCTAAAACAATCGGGAAAGTATTTCATTAAGTATTTATTCTAACTAACCTTAAATTTAACTTTAGATTTGAACACACGAACACCAAGTAAAGAAGCAGAGATGTCAGTACTACAATGGCAGGTTATACCAGACAGTCAAAACAATTTGGTAGAGCATGCCAACTATTAATTTTTTATTTCACATTTGACTGTTTTTGCCTAGCTTTTCGGGGCCAGGAGCCGGTGTCATAATCGAGGTCACGATCTGATTATAGGACGTTAAAAAGTCGAGAAAAAAAAACAAGCACTCGCAGCAGTCAAGATATTATTAGGAGTTACATGTAGTTCCCCTCACATCTGTGAGGTAGACTCGACCAGTGTAATAGTTAGCTTACATAATCAGCGCTTGTGGCAGGTTATAACTGTGGCTCGAAAGGGGTGAACAGGGTATATGCGGCAATGAAACAGTTTTGACTGCTATGCGATGTTCCCTTCAACCCTATTGGTAGACTCTTCCAGCCTCACTTTAAGTTTTCTTAATCAAAGCTTGTGACTGCTTATGGCGTGGTCCGATAGGGGCGAACAGGCTATTTCTGTGGCAATGAAACGGTTTTGAATGTTAAGCATACTGTTCATTGGTGATTATGAACGTCTTTTTACATTTAATTTATGAGGTTTACGTCTAGCTCTATGGGTGAATTTGACAGCGACAATGTTTCAAAATTAGGAAGGGAAGCAGTGATTATTTGATTATATAGACGCTTCGCCTCTGCCACAACAGCGTTCACGAATGAAGTACATGTACTTGATACATGTAATGCAACCACTTAGTCTTTTACACTACTGAAGTTCTGGTAGGCGAACGTGTTCATGTATATGGTGTGCCCACCATGGCGATCATTAGGCCTAATTATCATATGATGTACGTATATTATATGGGTGGTTAGAGGATGCACTGGAAGGTCCTACTTTTTTACCTTTCCTCTTTTGTTTCTGTCCGTCTTACTTTTTTCAAGCACTAAGTGACAATTCGTATGTCGATGTGCTTCTCTTAAATCAAACAAACAAACGAATACATAGTAGATGTACATATTTACATGTCATTTGTATACTGCCCTCCTCCGAACTTGTCGTTCGTTACAATATTTACGTCACCAGGTTAATCGCTTCCCGTTGACAATTACAAGTACA